CCATCAAATTGGTACTAACTGATCAACACTAGGTTGATCACATGGCAGAAATACTCTCTAGGGATTAGGGGGATGGGGGGCAAATCTACAACGAAAGGACACGGGGAGCACTAAAGGGAGGGAAGGGCATGCCTTTAACCCGCACTTGGGTGAGGCAAAGACTTAAAGTCTAACTATAATGATTGTACCCTCACAAAACCCTGGAATAATAAAAAAAAAAAAAATAATAATTAGATTGGCATAGTCAAGACCAAAATTATAAAGTAGACATTACTAACTTATCTCCAGCCCTTGCCTTTAACAGACTAATAAACACAAATTACAACACCAGGGAGTCTTGGTTGGTTTTGAGACAGTAAAGGAATTTCCCTAGCATTTAAATATATCCATATGACCAGTTATATAAATCTATGTGTTTTTTTTTTTTTCTTTTCTTTGAGACAGAGTCTCACTCTGTTGCCCTGGCTAGAGTGAGTGCTGTGGCGTCAGCCTAGCTCACAGCAACCTCAAACTCCTGGCTAGGCTCAAGCGATCCTCCTGCCTCAGCCTCCCAAGTAGCTGGGACTACAGGCATGTGTCACCATGCCTGGCTAATTTTTCTGTTGTTAGTAGAAACGGGGTCTCACTCTTGTTCAGACTGGTCTCGAACTCCTGAGCTCAAGCGATCCTCCTGCCTTGGACTCCCAAAGTGCTAGTATTACAGGCGTGAGCCACCGCACCCGGCCCTATAAATCTAAATATAAAATTCATCTCCAATAGGTTTTGAGATGGCAATTCACCATCTTTGTGAAAAGTTGAACATTACTAATAAGATCCAATCATATCTTTAGAAGGGGAAAACAGATACCATTTACTGAATTGGAATTACTATCAAAATTCAAAAAACAAGTCATATTCATTGAAGCACAAGCCAGTCTTAGTTAAATCAGGACTGTCCAACAAAAATATTCTGTGAGTCATTCATAATCTGAATTCTGGTGCATGAGGTCAATTAAATTATGGTAAACATAAAAGTCATGAGACATTTCTGTTTCGTAATCAATGAAGCAGAGGCCACTTATTACTCTTTAGTAGCTTTTTTGGGGATAAGCTATCAAGTCTGCCCTTTCTGCCTTCTTAATGCCAGTGAAGATCATTTTTGTTTCAGGGATGCACTTCTTGGGATTCTCCTAATTCTCCCTCAGCATATCCTGTCCCCAGGCGATGCCTTTGTCCTTACTGGTGTCTGTGTAACAGAATCCAACGGCCTGATCTGTCTTCACCACGGAGATTTGGCCTCGTCTTGTGCTAGTCTCCCGTTTCCACAGAGTGGCACTGGGCACACTTCTGAACGAAGATCTTCTTTCCTTTCTCAGCATCACCCAGATTTAATTCTCGTTCATCACTGATGCTACGGAAGGTCCCTGTTTGGAAGCCGGATGTCCCCCTCTCTCTCCATAGTAAGGGTTTCAGTTCTATGTGAGCTAACTAGAAGACCGATGAAAAGGATAGGACGTTTCCGAATAATTTATTCTATCTTTGCATTCACAACCAACCAGTACTTCTTATATGGTAGGTACGGTGCTGAGTGCTTTGGTCTCTTCAATCCTCACAACAATGGCATGTGTATGACTAATTTCCTCCTTTTTAGGGAAGAAACTTAGGCTGAGTGATTATATAAATCTCCCAGGATCACAAGGCAAAGCTGAGAATCGAATTGTATTTTTTTTTCCCCTTCCTGTCTTCTAGTGCAACGCCAGCAGAAAGGTTATTAATTCATAAGTTCTAGTTTATACAGTGTGTTTATCTTTGATATATATTCCTAATATATTACTTACATAGTTACATACTTACACAGCTCAAAACCTAAGTTTTCCCTCCTCTATTGAGACAGCCAAGGAGGTGCTCTAGGTTTAGAAAAGAACAAAGGGTCAGATGTAGGTTTGGTTCACGAAGCCAGAACATGGGAAGTGCATGAATCCATGTGCTGCTAACTATGAGACGTGTGCCAAGCGCCACGGAATAACTTGAGCAGATGAGCGGTTGAATGTGGATGACAGACATTGAGTTTGACCTGCTTTGGTCACCCTTCGCTTCTAGAGGCGCCCACTGATCTTTTGTTTTATTAAATTCTTTTTGTCCATTCTGATCTTTAAAAAAACAACAACAGAATTTTTTTTCTGTAGTTACACCTAGAGTTATGCCTAGCTGTTCTTCCCTATTAGGGACTAAAATCACTTTTGATTTTTTTTTTTTTTAATATCAAAGGACTAGAAAACAAATTGCAGGAACCAGTTGTCGCAAAACTCAGGACCCAGATCCTGTCTTTGAGATACTTTAGTGTCTTTATAATTCGACCTGATTGTAGTTTAGGAGTACTTGAGAATATCTCCCTTTTTCTTAGCTGTCAAGATTCAGTTGATACATCACAGATCCCTAAAGCTATGTAGGGAACTCTCCCCTTAATTCCATCCACTTCTTTTCTAAGCATCTGTAATAGTCACAGCTGGGTTCAGTGAGAGTTCTGCTTGCTAGGAGTGTGAGATCATGCCCTAAGTAATTACAGTGAGCATGCAGCGAAAATATGCAGTGAATATAATGTCAGGAAATCATGCAAATTTTATTATCATCAGTGAAGTGGTGGCTGGTGGAGAACTTGTCAGTATTTGCAACTTGAAGCCTCTAATTACCTTGATTTACTTGTAGTACCATTCATAACCTTGCTGCCGTGCTGTTCCTGACAGCACTTTTGCATTTTACAAGAAAGGAATAGTGCCATGTAAATAATTTAAAAACAATAAATCATTTAGAGTGGCTTTAAACCAAAACCTAATGCAGTAGCTGGCTGAGTGCTTGCTACACTTGACAGGTAGCTGGCATGCAGAATTCATCTATGTCTAAGAGGTATGTACTTTGAAAATCCACAAATCCAAAACATGCAGATCGAAGAAAAATGAGATCTAAGCTGCCTCTGTCTTCACCTTGTTTAGGCGAAATGGAAGATAGGGAAATTAAATTCTGTATGGGATAATCCTGCTTCTAACCCAGATTTGCTGAGTTATGCTAGGTGAATGACTAATTAAGGCTGGTTCTGGGAGCAGAGCTGGCAGGGGGTTGGAGGAGCACATCAACACGCCTGGGGCGGCACCCACACCCCCGCCCCCGCCCACGGCGGAGCCCAGGAAGAGGCTGGAAGGTTGGGAGCAGGA